TTAACACAAGAAGACATTGTTTGATAAAATTCATTTATTCAAATTCAGTAAAACAAATCCCTCATTTGTAGTCAACACCACATGGGACCGAACTGCTTTGGATTGGAACCATATTATTTTAAAAAAGTGTATTAAACACCTCATTTTTAGTAAAAAACACTCTTGGTCAAGTCAGACCGTGATGAGAGTCATGCTTTGTTCACTAAAAAAACTGAGTGCGAAGTCCGATCCCGCTCACTTAACTTTGTATTTGAATTTTAATTAATATAATTTTAATGAATAAACATTTATAAATTTGTCTGATCCCTACAAGATACCTTTCTACTTACTTTTCATAATGAGGGTGATAAAAACCCCTCACAAATAGAACAAAACAAATTTTCAAAGCATGTAAAATAGAAGTTCAAGGTATTGTATGCTCTATATCTTCACACCTAATAAATGAGTTCCACAATTGCCTATGGTAATTGTTATCTGAGACTCTAGGAATATACATAAACAATTCTATAATATGCAGTTTGCTACTCTAATTCACTCTGACAAAATTTGATCGCCCTATTCTTGTGGATTTCATACATATGGATAATTATTGGAACTGTAAATTCATATAATTTTAAAAATTATACTAATATTGAATTCCATGACATAATAAAATACTTTTAAACACAATCAGTTTTTTAAAAAATTAATTTAAAGAAAAGTTGCCTACTAAAGAACATGATTGTTAAGCCCTAATGGCATGATAAAGCTTATTTAAATTCAGGAAGAACAAAAAAATGGTATTCAAACATTTCACATACCTCGAAGGAGATGTTCTAAGTTAGTGCGTCAACCCAATGTGTATGAAAGTTATTTGCTTCCCTTACGAAAACCATAATAAAAAGCACATTTGAAAAATAAAAGATGAATAAAACCTATGCACAATAGTCAATACTTCCTCGTATGACACTACATTTGTTAACCTTTCATGGAATGAGTTTTATGGGTATCTCACTGCTGTGGTTCAGGGATTCAATTTTATTAATCTGTCTAAAAACTATTTTAAACTGCCTCCAAAATGTGAAAAATCAAAGGGGTGGGAGTGAATGTGGTTCGTTCTACAGGGCGAGGGGGGTGGTGTTTGATTCTGGGCAGCCAAATGCCACCCAACCTCCTCCTCCTCTTCCTCCAAGACACAATTAGAGCCACAGACAAACAAAGTTGAGATTAAAGTGGTAATGGAAATATTAAATCACACTCTCTAACCCCCTACCTTGGTTGGTTCCCTTGACATTGGGAATCACTGTCATGGGATGACCCGAAGGTGTTCGGGTTCCCCGCTCATAAAATTGATGGTTCCTACCCCCCTAACCCCCTGATAAACCCTCTCGATCGCCCCGACCCGAACACACACACCCCACCCCCTTCAATTGCACCCCCAAGTTAATTTTGACTTTGAAGGGGATGGGGGGGTTTACCAAGGGGGTAGGTACCGTCAATTTTACGAACGGGACACTGGAGCACCTCCGGGTCATCCCATGACATTGATTCCCAATGTCCTGGGAACCGGCCCGTTATATGTAATCTAATAACTTAGGTGATAGAGATTGGGCCTAGAGCTCCTAAGCATAGTTGTCATGGCGCATGGCGACATTCATGGCGATGGGCCAATATCGCATGGCGATGGCGATGGCGCATATATGGCGTTGCCACAAGACACTAGTCACAGAATATTAATTTACTAATATTTGCACATGTATAAGGAATAAATTCTATAAAAAACAATAGATTACTTGATCTAAAAAGTGAAGTAGTAAAACACAAATGAGAAGTCACTCCAAATCAAAAACACTCTAAGGGTCTATGGTGTCAATAGTAAAAGAACACAACTTAATCAAAACTTAAAAATAATTCAAAAATTAAAAGTGAAAAAAATATATTAAAGTGAATCACCTTTGAAAATATTGGCAGTATAATCAACTATAATACACATTACTTTGCATTACATAAAATAGATAAAGGAAGAAAAGCTTTCAAAAAAAAAGAAAAAAAAAGTATACTGATGGGTTAAAAAAAAGAAAAAGGAAGTACTTACCCGATATTTCCCCTGTCGCCGTCAATTGCTTTGGTGAGTCGCAAGAGGAGTCGCGACCAGAAGAAGAAGAAGACGAGACGAAGAAGAAGACGATTGGGAATCGAGGCCTGGCGGTTTTTGAGCGTCGATTGGGAATCGATTGGGAAGATTAAGGGGCCGGAGACTACTAATTAAAGGTTTAATTTCTTAACTGGGCCTAATTTTTGGGGTTTGGGTCGGATTAAATTAAAAAAATGGCGCAAGATTGGCGATGGCGTGGCGACGGTGCAGTTTTGGTGCTGCCACGACCCAATTTGTGGCGTTTCCGCTGCAGATCGCCAAAGGCGCATCTATGGCGCGCGCCATTTGCGCCATTGATAACTATGCTCCTAAGCCAGCCACAGAAATACTCCTATAGATATAAAATGTTGGGTTATTTTCCCTCTAGTCTTTTTAAACCATAAATAAATACTTTTCATTAAATGATAAGAAAATAGGTTATGGTGCTGACCACATGAAGCTTGGTAAAATTTTTTATTCAATAAATAAGTTATTACTTCAAAGTTGGGAGCTTAAAATTTTGAGAAATGGTTGAATAATCCAAGTATAAATTCCTCTAATTTTTAAACTTATACTCATACTGACTACCAGAATAAAATAATTTTTAACACAATATCTTAAAAATCAATTTAAAGGAAAAATGACTACTGAAGAACACAGCAGCATGATTGCTAAACCCTAATAATATGTGAGTATGCTGGATTTACAGCATGGAAAAGCTTATTGAAATTCAGGAAAATAACAGAAAAATGATATTCAGACATTTCACAAACACCTGCAAGCAGATGTGCTAATTTAGTGCACCAACCCACTGTAGATTAGTCATTTTCCTTGTGTGATATTTTAGAAATTTCCTAAAATGAAAAATTATTTGGGACAAGAAGGATTAAAAGGGTGGAATCTTTGCCAAATTATAAAATGAGTGCATGTGTGTGGCTTCATATCTTTTACAAGAATATAATGATATATGGTACATGAATCTCACCTCCCGCAGCTGCTGCACACACTCATAAATGCCTTCTTCGGTACACATATGACTATTGCATAGTAATCTGCAAATACTTGGCCATTTCGTTTGCAAAATACTGGACTTACTGCAGGCCCCTACATTGATTTATATGAACACGGCATGCCTAAGTTAGTCAGGAATTGAGTAGCGAATAGTTTATGGAGTGTGATTACTATCCCTCTGTCAAAGGGTAGTAAGATAATTTTCTGCTCTATTAAACTCTTCAGTAAAACTCTTAGTCTGTACCTGCAACCCTGATAAGGAATTTTGGCTCAATACGTGCTCAGCTACTTCCTCTGCAGAGTTTCCCCTCATGTTGGCAGTTACCTGCCATGAAATTTATCACGAACCAATTGTTTTTGAAACAAGTGAAATGTTGGGAGGAGATCTTACACACTGTGAAGCATTTCATGTGTTATATCTAGCACATCCTTACGTGTCAATGATTTCCTGCTAGCAACAAGGACCGCCTCTGCAGAAATATTAATCATAATATTTTATGTCCATCAGGTGTTGTACTAATATGTCATAATGAGGGTATGTGACTATGCAAACTTTGGAACTCTACATCCCTTGAAAATGTGCCTGCCTGTCAATATGAGCCGAAAACATGTTTTAAAATGATACTATTAATATTTTATAACATAATACAGTGCAATGTCCCTTTGACTGCATTCTTTCCTCAAACAAAATGACACTTAATATTTTATAACGATTGTTCTAGTGTTTTAAAATGGG